ATGCCAGTTTGTGAGTATAACAAAGGAGTGTATTTTATCCAGGATCCTCATACCTCCTTTACTCTCAAGATATCTGAGAAATCAAATTAGTAATCAGAACAATTCTGATTACTAATTAGAGTTTGACAGTTTGAAGAATTAGGTCACCTACCTTAGACAGGTTTAGTTATCTCCAGCAAAGATAATTTTATGTCAGTTTTATCCTAGGTTTTTTGCTGGATAAAAAAAATGAAAATTTCTCATTCGTGCTCCTGTATTTCTAAGTTCAATGCAAAGCTTGTCATACTATAGCAAGACAGTGTCCCCTGCAGAATCCTTTAATCCCAGAGGTTCACACTAAGGCACACTGGATACAACTTCAGCAGAGTCCTTCCTTACACTTGGTACAGGTTGATATATGGTGTCAACTTGAGAAGCTTACTTTAAGTGACTCAGCAGAGAGCCAGGATTCTTAAGTTTGTAAACATCCTCATCCTGTGCAAGAGGAGGGCATGAGTTCTACATCCCCAGCCTCAGGGTAGCTTGTTGATAATATAAGGAGGGGAGAGGCTGGCTAGAAGCCTCAACTCTGAACTGCTGCTGTTTGCCATGTGCCACTCTGCCTGGGAGCCAGCCAAGTTTAAACTGAAACCTCCACAAACTGTGAGCTAAATAAGTCTTTCCTTACTTAAATTTGGGTGTCAGGTATTTTATCACAACAACCAGTGAAAAGTAACTGAGACACACTTGGAATCATTTTGAAGCCACACTTTCCATTAGCCACGTTTTGAAGCCACACTTTCCATTAGCCACGTTTAAAACTGTCTTCTAAGGTGAGAGACATCTGCAAATAGCTCCTCTCACCCTTGATGTGTTTTCTCTGGTCTGACTCTGTTTTCTCAGGTCAGAGATAAAGCCTCCCTTTATCTCTGACCTGCATTAGTACTGACTAAACCTGTAAGCAGGTAAGCAGATCACGCTAAGTACCATATTTAGGAAAAAAACAGGATGAGAAGTTTTCCTGGGGGGTTGAGATTTTAGGTTTGTATTGATTTTAGCTTTCGTTAGAAAATGATGAAACTTATCTAGTCCCAAGTCTATGATCCAGTTCTTCTACCACTTTATGAATTTAAATGGAAGAAAAATAGTGTTCCTATACCATAATTATATTAAGCTTGGGATTTACATATATATGTAGAATTTTTCCTTTTGTATTTTTTGCATAGTTAAGTTATGCAACTTAATTTTTTTTTGTTATAAGATGTCCTTGCCACTCATCTGATTCATTTTTAAGGTTTATTTGAGTTGCTGAAACAGAAAGTAGGCTTGTATGTTCCTTTTAGGAATTACATTTTCTATATATGAAAGCATATGATACTCATAACAAAGTTTCTGAATAATTATGGCTTTGAGGATATTTTTGTTGATGCTTTTTATATTAATTCATGGACATATCCTTTAAAATATGTCCTTGTGGCCTTTTCATTTTGATTCTGGAATGACCGTGTAAAAGTATGCAGTTAGGATTTTACTGAGGGGGTATTGTTTGGTTTTTCATTTTTGTCTTGTTTTGATTTGTTGGGGGTGGTGTTTGTTATGTTGCCATATTTTGTTTTGTTTTTGAGATAAGGTCTCACTATGTAGCCTAAGTTGGACTTGAGTGGGCTCATTGTAGCCCATGCTGGCCTTAATTGTGCCTGTCCTCCTGCTTCAGCCTCTTGAGTGCTGAGACTATAGGCGTGAGCCACCATGCCTGGCTGCAGCTAGGTTTTTTAATCACTTCTTTTTGTACCACATTCCTGTCTCTCTCAATATGGTTCCAGAATCCATGGGGCATTACTTTTGCTTAATATTCAAGTTCTTTTTAAAGTGTTCTTTATTCTAGAACATCTAAGGCAGATAATTAGTCTAAGGTAAATGATTTGTGCTGTCCAACATGGGTTTCACAGAACCAGTGTTTTGCTGACTATTAATAGAAAAAGTTTTCCATAAATTATATGCATTTTGGAAATGCTGGGGTAAATATGCTATTGAAACATGGAATTCTCGGGGCATTTAATATAGTCCTGGATTATTAATACCCTACAAGCTGCTGTGGGCAGTGTTTCTCAAACAGGCGCATGGAATCTTTTCTTTCAAAAAAACTCCACATAAGGCTAGTGTGGAAGAAAACAACTTAGAACAGTAGGGAAAGGGAAACTCTGTGTCCCCCTTGTTTCAAGCCTTCAGAGAAAGTTTACAGCAAAAATGGATACCCTGCAGCATTTACCAGGAGCAGTAATTATGTATCCTATAAACTCTATTTTTCTCTTAATTACAGGTGTCATTTTTTTGTCGAGTTAACTGAAGCATGTGCTCCAGTTATGTTAAATGCTTAGAAACTGATTTCCAAAACTGAGAGGTAAAAGGGAAAAGTTTGAATGAAATTCAAACTTGAATTTGAATTTTAGTTTGCTCTGTCCTGCCTTACAGCAGTGTACCTGCTGCATCCCATCTTGCCTATACCAATTTAATTAGCTGAATATCTTAACTGAAGCCAACAGTGTTTTCAAATCAACCTCTAACTTTTTTGAACTTGGAAATAAGAACTTGAGGGAGGGGGCAAGTTCTGTGATATATATATCACAATTAAGTATGTTCTAGTTGGGAGGATTTTTTTTTTTTTGTATCCTTTTGTTAGCTTTCTTTTTCCTTTTAGTCACTGAGAAAATGGCATTACAGTGATTCAAAAATTTTTAGTGCCTGGTACCTTGATTAAAATATACAATACCAAAATCTGCCAGGTATGGTGGTGCACTTCTATAATCCCAGCACTCAGGGGCTTGAGACAAGAAGACAGAAGTAAGTTTGAGGCCAGCCTGGAATACGTAATGAATTCAAGTGTCTCAGACAAAATAATAAAATAAAATATTATTTAGGTCTAAGACAGAAGCAGTCTAATGATGAACAAGTAACTACTTACTTATAAAATATCCTATGTTTAAATCTGTCTCTTAGGAAAAGATTTACCAGCAAACAGAGCCATTATCTCTCTTTTTTTATTAATTTTATTGAGAAACAAATAGCAATGAGATAGTTTCAAAACAGGTTAGTAGGACAGTTACAATAACTAATACATTGCATATTGTCTTAAAAGTAGTTATCCATAGTACAAGATATAGACATGATATCCAGTTCAAACACTATTAGTACAAATCTTTCTTTTCATTGAATTAAGAGAAAGTAGCTGTATATCTATCCTGACTATTTTGTATATACAGATACAAAATGGTCCATTCTCTCAAATAGGTATTCTCTGACCCTGTCTCTAATAGAGTAGGTGAGGGCCAGCCAAATAGCTCAGTGGATTAAAGCACCTGCAAACAGGTGCAGGGGCCGGGTTTTTGATCCCTGTGCCTGCAGTGCCAGCCCCGCCCCCACAAGCACACTGAGATGGCACTTGAGACTGGGCGTGGTGACGATCACCTATAATCCCAGCTCTTGGGAGACTGTAAACAGGCAGATCACTATAAGTCCGATCTAATAAAGTATGTGATAAAAATATACAGTGATTTTTTTTTCCCTTTTGTAGTAAAACACATTGCAAAGAACAGTGGAATAAGTCTGTTTGAAGGGAGCTAAGTATTTTGAGGGATGATTAATGGCAATGGGTATACATGCATGTATATTTTGTTCATATTCATTGTATAGTTTTATTTTCTATATAGTGTTACATGTAATTATTTTTACTTGTTGCTTAATTGTCTCACCTGGACATAAGAGTCTCAGCTTCTT